CCCCCCCCCCCCGGGTCACCCCATGAACAATCATAGTGTGTATTATAGTATAGAGACGTATCTGTTGTCAGACGAGATATCCTTTGCGGCAAGATGATTGCCAATATGTATGACAGTGGTGCATGGCAGTGGTGTCTAACAGTGGTGTAGAACAGTGGTGTGTGACAGTGGTATAGGACAGTGGTGTTTGACAGTGTTGCATGGCTGTCGTGTATGACAGTGGTGTAGAACAGTGGTGTGTGACAGTGTTGCATGGCAGTCGTGTATGACAGTGGTGTAGAACAGTCGTGTATGACAGTGGTGTAGAACAGTCGTGTATGACAGTGGTGTAGAACAGTGGTGTGTGAAAGTGTTGCATGGCAGTCGTGTATGACAGTGGTGTAGAACAGTGGTGTGTGACAGTGTTGCATGGCAGTCGTGTATGACAGTGGTGTAGAACAGTCGTGTATGAAGTGGTGTAGAACAGTCGTGTATGACAGTGGTGTAGAACAGTGGTGTATGACAGTGGTGTATGACAGTGGCGTATGACAATTTTTTTTAAAATGAAAATTACACCCAGCCTGATTTCATAAAGATCTAAGAAGCCAATTTCTATCTTGGCATTGTTACAAATCAGAAAGTCTCATTATAGAACGATCGATTTGTTACGCTGCAATTATATTTAATGCTTGGAATTTTTTAATTGAATTTCAGATGAAAATCAGATTACTTTTTTTATTAACAGAAAAAGTTTTATGTGTGAATGTAAGGTGGGGGGTGGGGGGTTGAGGTTGGGGGAGGGGGGATTTAACAATCTATAAATAAAATCAAAATCAATTACTTAAAACAAACCTAATAATTAAAGTTATAAAAATCTAACTTCAGCCAGGAGATGCAATAAAAAAAAAACTCTAATGCAAAATTAATTTCTTCCCCAAAATAATCCTTGTTTTCAATAATTCAGCCCAACACTTCACAACCCTTTGCAAACGTCATTTCACAAACACACAGAAAAAAAAAAAAAGAACAAGTCACAACACTATACCACACATGCACAGATCACCATTTACTTCACCACATACCCCACTTCAGTGGTCCACTATGGCACCATTATATCTGCCCGTGTGCAGAAATCAACACTGTGTGTTTAAATTAAAGCAGGGGCTCTTAACCAGGGGTGTCTGCCCCACCACCCCCCCCCCAACCCCGGATATGGGGTTGCGGGAAGACCCAGAAACTCAGGTTTAATTACAATTAAGTAAGCCATTTTTTTTTTAATCGAGGGTGGTGCGGGAACTAGTGTTTTGAGATGCGGATCATGGTACTGGATTTATTTGACAAATCAAGAGGGTGTGTGGCGCTGCGAAAAAAAAGGTTTAAGAGCCCCTGCGTTAACGACAGTGAAACTAAAACTTCTGGCTGCCATAGAAGAGAGAAGAGCCCTGGAGCCGATCACAGCTTGTTGACACAGTCTGGACGTCTTCATTCCTGGACTTCGGATGTAATGGATCATATGGATGTAATGGATCATATGGATGTAGTGGATCCTATGGATGTAGTGGAGTTTTTAAAAACAGCCGAAGCTGATAACAAGCAGCGCCAGACTTTCATTTGGCTTAATCTCTTCTCTCCTGTACTTCCTCTCATCGACTTTCTCTTGTTTACTTGATTGGGAAAAACCAAATCCCTGCCATCGACCAGATATAATATCAATTTCACTGGTTAAGAACGACCATCTGGTGTGTTTCTTCTCTCTTTCCTTTTTTTTTTTTTTTT